GGTGGCGGCCGCCCCCATGGCTTGAGCACCGGCTGTGGCGCGCCAGGGCGTGGTCTCGGTGGTCTCGGATCGCGCTACGCGGGTGGGTTGGGAGGATTCTCCGCTGAGGACATGTCAGTCCTGGAACTAAGAGGCGTTACTGGAGCATATCAGCACAAACCCTGACCGGTACTTGGGCAGATGTTGTCAGAGGAAGCTAATCAGTCTCGGCTGGATCCTAGATGCTTGATACCCCGTGCGCTTCTCAAACGTGAGGCATGAATTGAGAAGCATTGGTGAAGAAAGAACTTGGTTAGGACGATGACTCAGAGGTGACCGCATTGGGTACGATTGTATGGCACACCTATGCCGCTCTTTACTCGTCAATGTACGCAAGCCTTCCGAGCCAATCCAAAGAATATTGTACATGTACAAAACCCGTTCACGGCCACACCGCCGACGGGTATAATTGTATTTGTTGAGCTTTATATCCTGCCCGCTTCGAGTTTGATTTCAACCATGAATACTCGAAACCATCCACTACCTCCGCTTTCCTGTTGTATGTACGCTTTCAGCTCCTGCCCATACCCTGCAGCCACGATCACCCCTCGCAGTCTGTCGAGCAGCGAGAAGTTTGTTTATTAGAAGATCACCCTTCGCTCCCACATCCTCCCCTCTCCTTTCAGATACCACACTGCGCCTCCTCTCCCACCCTCCTTCCGCTTGCCCTCCCCTTCCCCCAGGCTTTCTTCTTTCCAGAGGAATGCTGCGCCCCCCGGATTACCGACCTCGTCAAAAGTCAAACTCGCCTCTGAACACATCCGGATCGACGCCCACCACCACCTTCTCGGCCAGATCCCGCCTACCCATCTGGGTGAAGACGCGCCGGAGGGTGTCGTAGAGGGTGGTGCTCCGGTTCTGCGTCGTCATGGCCTCGATGCGGGCGTCGGCGCCGGGTCCGGCCGCGTCGCCGCCAAGCAGCTCCCTCGCCTTCTCGCGGCCGCTCGTCTCGACGCTCTTGTGCATGTCGAGAGCGGACAGAAGGTGGCCGGCGGCCTCGGCGTGGCAGCCGATGTTAATGCACGACACGCCAAGGTTGTAGCGGGCGCGGACGAAGTTGGGGTGGATGGCGAGGGCCTTCTCGTAGGCAGCAATGGCCTCTTCGGAGCGACCGGAGTTGGCTAGGGTGGCGCCGAGCCTATTCCACAGCAGGTGCACCTGCTCGCGCTGGTTCGACGAGCCCAACTCCGAGCTGTGGAGCGCTGCCTGAAAGCAGTCAACCGCCTTGTCGTACTCCTCAGCTCCGTAGAAGAGCACGCCCAGGCCGACCTGCACGTCCGGGTCCATGTGGTCGCCATCCGGGGCGAGCCGCGCGGCGGCGAGGAAGAGCTGAGTGATGCGCTGCTGGAGCTGCGCACGGTCGGTGAAGCCCATCTCGGCGGCCGAGGAGAGCTCGGTGGGCGCGATAATGGACGGGTACTTGACTGAGAGCCACCGCTCGAGCGTGCGGTAGGCGGTGCTGTCGTAGCCTTCGTTGGTGTAGGAGACGGCGAGAGCCATGAGGGCCGCGAGGTTGTTAGGGTCCAGTTTGAGGGCGTGCTCGAGCGCGCGGATGGCGGCCTCTTCCTTTTCGTTTTGGGCTTGCGCGCTGCCGAGGTAGACCCATGCTTCAACGTGGTCCGGGTTTTTCTGTACGGCGGCCTCGAAGGCCAAGGCTGCAAGGGAGAGGTTGCCGCCCTCATTCATGATGCGCACGCCCTCATCGAAAGGGTTGGATTGGTCCTGGAAGAGATTCTCCTCCTCGAAGAGATAGTCTTGGATGACGGGATCAGCGCCGAAGCGGTTGCTGAGGCCCCAATCGTTGAGGTTGTCGCCGCCGAAGTAGGAGCTATCAAACTTGGCGAAGTTATCCTCGATGTCGTCCAGGTCCTTCATAGCATCCTGTTCGGCCTGGATGCCACGCCATATCGACTCGAGATCGCCGTAACCCGTCTCTGAGTGCAACAGCTTCTCATCCATTTGATCCAGCTCGGGCTCCATGGCCTGCGCCTCGTCTTTTTCCTCGTGCTGCTGCTGGTCATGCAGCTCCATCCGCTTGAACTGTTCCTCCCACTGATTCTCATCCAGCTCTACCACCTTCCCCTTGCCCTTGCCCTCGACCTCCTGTTGTTGGGGTTGCTGGTGTGGCATTTGCATCTGGGGGGTGTACATTGGCTGGAACATGGGGCGCGACATCATGCTGTAGCTCATGCCACCCATCATCATGGGCCGCTGCGGCTGGGTCATGACACTACCACTGGCTCCCGGCATGGATGCGGTGCGGGCGGACGATGAGCCGTTCATCTGCTGGAACTTGGCGAACTCGTCCGGGCTAAACTGGGTTCCCGGCGGCGCGTTGAACGCCGCTTCCATGGCGGCTTGGGTGTCTGGCGGGGCCCAACCGGGAGACAATGGCGAGCCGGTCCGGGCGCGGAGATGAACGCCGTGGTTTTGATCGATGAGTACTTGACCCATAGGGCCTGGTTGCTCGAGGGCCATCTCGGGGAGGCCGGGAGACTGGCGGAGGAATCCGTTCATCATCTGGAGAAAGAGCCGTTAGCCTGAACAACCGTCTGCCTTGCTTTCACCACCCCATTCCCGGGAACGCACCTCATCCTGTGGCGCATTGTGCGTCACGCTCCTGAAGCCACCAGCGGCCGCATTGGGCCCCCTACTGACAAGGCGGTCATGCTGCAAGCTCTTGTCGTCTTGGACGTGTTTCGTAAACTGGCTAAGCGGGTTCCCCGCTGTTGAGCACTCGGCTCCCCCTAGAAAAGACATGGCCGCTGCAGAAAGAGCACAGTTTTGTTGATTCGGCGACGGTAAACGAGCCGCGAAAACAAAGAGCCGAATGGAGGGGTCAACAGGGACCCAAGGAGGGGCTGACAAATGTAGAAGAGCTAGGCGTTTCGAAAAGAAAAGAGTGATCGGTTTCAGCTGCAGTCACGAAATAGAAGTACAGTTTGAGGAAAGACAATATCAGGTCGAAACAAGGTACCGACTCGTTTTTTTGTTGTTTCTTGGGTGCGATGCAAGACGCACCAGTCCGTCGAGCACTTGGGCCGCATTTGTTGTCCAAGGCCCGCCGCCACTTGGGCGATAGCCACTTACCTTAGTGGTTAGTTATGCCGAGGCAGCACGTCTCCCCCAATTTACGGGTCTGGAGCCGGCACCAGCCGCCCCACTCCGAACATGTGGTCGGCTTTCTTTCGGCCTGGTTGAGCCCGGACCGCAGCAAGGGTAAGGGGTTCATATGCGAGCCGACCATCCCCATGAATCGTTACCGCTTCATGATGTCTGTGGACGCACAGCACTGTACGTGCATAGCTAGCTTTCCCTGGAGTATCTTGGATTTATTGTACACATCTATGCTGCCGAACGGAAGAGGAAAATATTACATGGTCGAAACATGATTTACAGGTTACAGTCTCCATAGACGCCCATGATGCAGGTTCTTCCTGATCCCCCGCCACTGCGTGCTCCTGGTCATCACTGCCGTGTACTCATCGTGCTGGGCGAGGATTGATAAATCCCCAGGTTCCCCGTCGGTTAATTAGTTCCCGGATCGCGGAAGCTTCCTCGTGTAGCCTTCGGCGAAGTCAATTCGCAAAAGTCTGTTCCCAAGCTTAACGCCCTCCAGCTTCTTCTTCGCTTCGACGGCCGCCTCAACAGTGTTGAAGTCGGCGTGGGCGAAACCACGGGGCCAGCCCGTGGTGCGGTCGACAGCAACCCGAACGTCCCCAAGGTTGTCCATGCCCCGGAAAAGCCGGTTCAGCTCGGCGTCGGTCGTCTCATAGGGGATGTTGCCAACGAAAAGCTGCTGGGTTGGGTGATCGGGCGAGTTTCGATGCCTGTTGTCCTTCTGCTTGGAACCGGACCTACCCTCGGGGGCTCGGGGAATGCAAGTAATACGGCGGCCGTGCCAGAAGGAGCCGTTGACGTTGTCGCAGGCCGCCTTGAGCTCCTCGGCCGACTCAAAGGATACGAAGCCATATCTAAACACAAGTCCCAGGTCAGTGGTCAAGTACTGGAGAGAAAGAAAAGCAGAGAGGTCGGACTCACCCTTTGCTCATTCCGCGAGGATCGCGCGCAATGTACACCTTCGTCACATTGCCGTACTTAGAGAACGCCTTCGTAAGGTGCTCCTCGGTGAGTTCAAACACGATGTTGCGAACAAAAGCGGTATTCTGGGCTGTCCAAGGGACACTTGTTAACACGTAATGCGGACGGAAACAGTGCTTGGCTACCGCTCACATTGCTGGCCGCGCGCAGCTTGCTTGGCATTGCTCGGAGGAGAAGTCTCCTGCATCGCCTCCTGAATGTCGGCTTCGGTGTTCGCGATCGACTCCTAAGCAGAGTCAGCGGGCTGGGCAACAATCCGCCTGCCGGGAACCGGTAGTCACCTCGACATCTTGTTGGGCATCAGCGGCGGCCTGACGCTCAAAGTCCTCTTCTGACCGGCGCTGTGCTTCCTCCAGTTGCTTATCCTCCGTAGCCCTGTGCGCAGTCTGCGAGAAGAACCGGATAGCTTGCGGCGAGCTAGCCTTTATGGCGCTGCATTCTGGCGTTGTCCTAGTAGCAAAGGGAGTGATGCGTGTCGCGGTCGAGACGGTCCTCGAGGCGGCGGACCTGAAAACAGCACGGCGCAGAGAATGCCTGTCCTTATGTCAATCATATCCTCAAGTGGCAAATCGCGAGGCCCCAAACTCACATTGTGATGATACGTTGGTAGAAGATTGGCAACGAAAAACTGGCAGAGTGAATATTCTGCTAACGTCACGGAAAGTCGTTCCTGTTTCGCTGCTCCGTCGTCCTTCGCGCTTCCTAAGCTCTGGCGAGAAATTTCCTGCCAAGCGAGCGCGTTCAGCTTATCTTATCGCTTGACACCTTCAAGTCCAATTTATCTCTGCATGGCCAGCTGTGGTTTCTTGGCTGCTCCTCACAAGCTTTCAATTAGACGCTGATCATCAACAAATACAGTTGGGCGTGTGGCTCAGTTGGTAGAGCGTTCGCTTAGCATGGTTGTCCACCTTGCGAAAGGTCCTGGGTTCGATTCCCAGCCCGTCCACATCTCCCTGCGCCAATGGTCTAGTGGTTAGGATTCAACCCTTCCAAGGTTGAGGGGGGGGTTC